GTGCTCATTTTGTTCAAATTTCTCTCTTCTTTGTTGTTGGTTTGGTGCAGTAAATCATTTCTCCCTTCTCTGATTGTTGGTTTGGTGCAGTAAATCATTTTTTTTAGTCAAAATGGGAATGCTTTGTGTTGGCTTGGAGTTGGAAAATGTGATACCAGAGTTGTTGTGAATCCTGGTTGTTTGAGTTGTTGTGTTTGCTTGGGTTGTTTGGGGTTGAGATTGTTGTGAATCTGTGGAGTTAAGAGTTCTTTGCTGGACAGTATGGCAGCGGACGGTAAGAAGATGGTGACTGAAATTGTCACTTCCTCCACTAAAATTACTGATCGGAAATTATTGGGAAAAAAGAATTATATTCAATGGAAGCGGATTATCCGACGATATGTGTCCAGCATTGATATGGGAGATCATTTAATCGAGGATCCACATGAGAAAACAAAAAATGATAATAAAACTTGAAAAAGATGGCTCATGGAAGATGATAAGCTCTTCAATCAGATTCAAAAGACTCTTGATTCGTTCGTGGATGATGTGATTGGTCACTGTGATACAGTCAAGGGGTTATGGGAGTATCTAGAGTTCTTGTATGCTGCTAAACAAGACTTGTCTCATGCCCACAAATTGTTATTGAAGATCTATCGAACAAATATGCAAGAGAAGACATTGCTCGAATATTAGATAGAGATAAAACAAGCCTTTGAAGAAAAAAAGGCTATGTTTCCTATCCCTATTGACGTGAAAATGATGCAAGCACAAGAAGAACAAGTGGTAGTGCAATGTTTTCTGGTTGGACTGAGATCGGAATATGAGGTAGCTCGTACACAACTTCTTATCGGTGAGACACTTCCCTCTCTTACGGATGTCTTTGCTCGACTTCTCAGAGTTAGTAAGGGGGAAGATCGAAGAGTGTCTAAGGACAAAGAAACCCTTAAGGATCCTAATGTTGATCATGTGGCCCTAGCTAGCATGAAGTCTGGTGACGACAAAGGTAATAAAGGGACAAGTCGTGATCCTAGGAACAATCGTGGTAATGGCTCTCGTACTTGCTTTCACTGTGTTGCTGAGGGTCACGTAAAGAAAAATTGTTGGAAGCTCCATGGCAAGCCCCTGAATATGCAAAACACTTAGAAATTTGCTCATGTTGTAACTCAAGATGGTCTCTTACCCACCCCATCACAGGTTACTATCTCCGCAGTAGAATATGCTTGTCTCACTCAGAATTCTTGCTCCCAGTCATCCATCCCATCGACTACCACTACTTTAACCCAGTTAGGTAATCCTACAGTCTGTTTGTCCACTTCTAGTAGTAACTGGGTTATTGATTTTGGTGCTACCCACCATATGACAGGCAATACATGTATTCTCTCCTCATTTACACCTTCTCCCAATTTGTCTTCGGTTACCTTAGCTAACGGGTCTACTGCACCTACTATTGGATGTGGTACTGCCCATCTCAACAAATCTATGTCTCTTTCCTCTGTCTTATGCCTTTCTCATTTTCCCTTTAATCTTTTATCAGTTAGTCAAATTACTAATGCATTCAATTGTGGTGTTTACTTTTTTTCTACTCATTGTATATTTCAGGATCTTGGGACAAGGCGGATTATTGGTAGGGGCCGTGCTCGATGATGTCTCCACTCCTGCCTCTGAACCTGTTGCGTGTACCAGTGATTCATCTCTACCCATACTACATGGTCGCCTTGGTTATCCTCCCCTTCCCATTTTGAAAAGGCTGTGTCCTAATGTAGGGTCAGTGTCACACCTTGAGTGTGAGGCGTGTCAATTTGGAAAACACCATAGAGTGTCCTATAGCCCTAGGATAAACAAAAGAGCCACAACCCCTTTTGATGTTATAGACTTCGATGTTTGGGGTCCTTGCCTTGTGTTGTCTAAGTCTGGATATCGATATTTTGTTATTTTTGTGGACGATTTTTCACGTGTAACTTGGTTGTACTTTATGAAAAATCGTTCTGAACTATTCTCCATATTTTGTACCTTTGATGTTGAAATACAAAATCAATTTACTTCATCTATTAAAATTCTCAGAAGTGATAATGCCAAAGAATATTTTTCTGCTCCTTTCTCTTCCTTTCTGTCTACTAGAGGTATTATTCATCAATCATCATGTGTTTATACACCTCAGCAAAATGTAGTTGCTGAACGCAAAAATCGTCATTTATTAGAAGTCGCTCGTACTCTCCTTTTTCACATGAAAGTCTCTACAGAATTTTGGGCAGATGCTATCTCTACAGCATGTCACTTGATCAATCGCATGCCTTCTTCTGTTTTGGGTAGTCAAATCCCGTTCTCCATCCTTTTTCCATCACAGCCTTTATTCTCTCTTCCTCCTAAAGTGTTTGGGTGCACGTGCTTTGTTCAAGATGTTAGACCTTATGCATCCAAATTTGAACCTAGGTCCCTCAAGTGCATATTCGTGGGTTATTCCCGATATCAGAAGGGTTATCGCTGTTTTTCTCCTATCCTAGGTAAGTACCTTATCTTCGCTGATGTTTCCTTTTTTGAAACCACTCCATATGTTGAGTCCTCCACTCCATCTACTTCTCTTGAAGCACCCCCTGATGATCTTCTTGTTTACCACATTACCCATCATAGTCCTCTACCATCTTGTCCTCCTATCACCCAGCTTACATCATGAGCAATTCCTCTGACCATGATCATGATTATGATCTTCCCATTGCTCTCCGTAAAGGTAAGCGCTTTTGTACCTATCCTATCTCCTCATTTGTTTCCTATCACTCTCTGTCTTCATCTTCCAAGTCTTTTATTGCCTCTTTAGACTTCGTGTCTGTTCCCAACTCTGTGTCTGAAGCAATTGCTCATGATGGGTGGCGAAGGGCTATGGAAGAAGAGATGTTGGCTCTAGAACATAATGATACATGTGTTCTAATGGGGCTGCCTGAAAATAAAAAGGCTATTGGGTGCAAATGGGCTTTCATAGTGAAGGCTAATCCCGATGGGACTGTGGCTCGATTGAAAACTCGGTTGGTTGCTAAAGGTTATGCCCAAACGTATGGTATTAATTATTCTGAGACATTCTCCCTAGTGGCTAAAATGACCTCTGTCTAACTATTCATCTCTCTTGCAGCTTCATATTGTTGGCCTCTTCACCAACTTGATGTAAAAAATGTCTTTTTACATGGTGATCTTCTTGAAGAGGTTTACATGGAGCAACCTTCGGGGTTTGTTGCTCAGGGGGAGTTAGGAAAGGTATGCAAACTGAGAAAATCTTTATATGGCTTAAAACAATCTCCACGGGCGTGGTTTGGGAGGATCAGCGAAGTGGTGACTCAGTCTGGTTTACATAAGAGTGCTTATGATCATTCTGTCTTTTATAAGCAATCTAGTTCTGGCATCATTCTTTTGGTTGTTTATGTTGATGACATTGTAATTTGTGGCAGTGATGATGTTGGCATTCAGAGTTTGAAAAACTGTTTGGCTTCCAAATTTCACACAAAAGACTTGGGTACTTTAAGGTATTTTCTCGAAGTTGAGGTTTTTTGGAGTAAGAAAGGGATTTTTCTCTCTCAACGCAAGTATGTGTTAGATGTGTTGACCGAAATGGGTCTAAGTGAGGCTAAGCCTTGTGACACTCCTATGGTTCCTAATGTGAGATTGAATGCTAAGGATGGAGAGATGTTTGGTGATCCAGAGAGGTATAAACGAATAGTTGGAAAATTAAACTACCTTATAGTAACCCGTCCAAATATTGCTTTTTTAGTGAGTGTGGTGAGTCAGTTTATGTCATCTCCTAGGACATCTCATTGAGATGTCGTCCTCCATATTTTGAAGTATCAAAAAGGAGCCCCTGGACGTGAGATTCTTTACAGTGATCATGGTCATAATAAGTTAGAAGGTTTTTTAGATGCTGATTGGGTAGGATCCTTTGTGGATAGATGGTCTGTGACTGGGTTTTGTGTTTTTGTTGGAGGAAATCTTATTTCTTGGAAAAGTAAGAAGCAATCGGTTGTAGCTAGGTCAAGCGCAGAGTCTGAGTATCGGGCTATGACACAAGTTACGTGTGAGCTCATATGGACAAGACATCTTCTTAGAGAAATTGGGTTTGGTGACCCAAGGACTATGAACTTGTGGTGTGACAACCAAGCAGCCATACATATAGCAAACAATCCAGTCTTTCACGAGAGGACTAAGCATATAGAAGTGGATTGTCACTTTGTACGAGAGAAACTTGAACAAAAGTTAATTGCTACTAATCATGTTAGAACAGGGGAACAACTAGCTGACATCTTCACGAAGTCTCTAGTAGGTAAAAGGGTAACTTATATTTGTAACAAGCTGGACATGATAGATATATATGCTCCAGCTTGAGAGGGAGTGTTGGAAACTATGTATAGGTATAGTGTAAAGGGTATACTTGCAATTATTTAGTGTGTGTATATATTTGTGCTAGGTTGTACTGTTGATATAAGTGAAAATCCTTAATAATTAGTTATATCTAAGTTGTGTTCATCCCTTTTTGTAGATTTTGTGGTTTTGTTAGATTCACATGCCTTGAAAGTGGCATGGCATATTAGAACTTAAAAATAAATGTTGCATCCTTACCTATAAGCTTAAGTTTTTAAGTTCAGTAACTTGACAGTCCAACCAGTTGCAATAGAAATTAAAATCAGGGCAGCCAACTATTTTTAAATTTTTACTATGATTTGTAATATTTTTGCCTAAGACTGATTCCAATCCCATGCCACCCATTTAAGAATATCCCAAGCACATGTAACCAACCAAGGTTTAGGGTCAAGATATTTTGAGTTCTTTTCTAATTACCCATGATAGTATAGAACTATGGATGCCCATGGCTTGTTTCAGTTAAAATAAAAATTTGTTTGAAATCAATACAAATATTGGATTATATTTTTAAGAACTTACGAGTATTTCCTATAACATGGTTAAATATTTATCCAATGGGGCACATAGTCTTAATAAAAGCAACATCTATCCTGAATCAAAAAAGGAGAAAGTCAGCATACCAGTTGTCCTTAAAAAAATTCCACACCCGTCACGCTTCTGCCCACTTCTCTGAATATATATACTAGAATAACCATCAGTCTTCAAATTTGCTTTGTAAAGTCATCTCGTCTAATTCCTGGTCAAGCTCATAATAAACCTCACAAGACATATATTACAAAAATGACCGTAATAAAAGCAGAACACAGGCTTTTATGCACCTGACTAGATGATAAATATGAAGGAACACAGTTTTTGGTAAAGAAAATTTTAAAATTCATAGATTATGCAGGAAGAAATGGCCTAAAGCAAAGACAGAAACCACCAATCCCACCACATATATACGTAAATGAAACCTGTAAGCATAGGAAGTCGGCACCAAAGTTCTTCAGAAAGTTACAATTGCCTTTGACCGGTGCTTCCACCTGTGATGCACACAGATTATAAACATAAAACTCGTGTAATTACTTATTCAGGTGTCAATAAATATGTATAATGAACATCAACCCCTACAGCTGCAGAAAATGTATGCTTAGTTTTACTGACTAGGCCAGCAAATGATGACTAGTCAGTAACTAAGCAGACAAATACAAATCACATTAATTAAAACAAAATTTTAGTCAAAAGTTCTAAAGCAGATGGCAGACTATAAGATACCTAATCTGCCAACAAACGAGTGGAAGTTGTCAATCCATAAGCATCAGAAGCCCTTGACTTAAAACTCAAAAAGAAAAGCCCTCCCTAATCATGTTATAGAAGGTCCTAATATCAATGAATAAAAAAGAGGCTTCTTGAAGCTCCATAGATATTTTTTTTAAGGAATAAACATCAGAAGCCCTTGACTTGAAGCTCAAAAAGAAAAGCCATCCCTAAGCAATATTAGAAGGTCCTAATATCAATGATAAGAGAAAAGAGGCTCTTTGAAGCTCTAAAGCATAGTTTTTTAAAGTGTGTGAATACAAATCAGGTTGTGTGTTTTCAACCCAAATGTTGTCAGAATAAAGCTTATTACAAAAGCATGATCAATGATTTCAATTACAAGTACATCACAACTTTATCTTTTGTCCTAGAGCTAAAAGTGCATCATAAGCATGGAAACTATTGACATCAATCAAATGAAAACCAATGAAGCACCTTATCAAAGGGATGGAACAAAGTATGAAGATTTACTTGAGGCAAGCAGATGGAGATGTGGAAAGAGAGAACTCTTCACATAAACCTAATAATAAAACAATCTCTGGCACATTAGAATCAGCTATAACAGCTGCAAAAATTGACCTGCTAATTCAAAAAGTACTTCTATACACCAGCCACCAGACACTTTTAAAATCTCAAAACTACATCTATTGAATTCCATGTTTAAGCTTATATAGAACTCAACCTTAATAGAAAACCAGATGAGCTCCATTCCAATAGAATACACAAATCCCTATATTTTAATTGCACGATGCAACCCAAAAGAATTTACATATTTTTTGGCCTTCAAAGTGTCACATTTTTTCCCCACCAAAGTTTCAATTGCTTTTAGCACAAAGTAAACATGGTATCATAAAGTTGGGAGGCCATGATTTTAAAATAGAATGCTTTACATCTTTATGCTCTTCAATCAAAGTGATATTGGCACCAAACAAAAGCAACAACTTCCTATAAGTACCCAGTTAGATAATAGATAAGATGAAAGAAACTTGATAGGTTAAAAAGTCTCAATACATCAGTTAAATTACTAACAATTGACAGCAGGTGATAAGTTTATCGTACCTGTGCTAAAATGTTATAGGAGACAAGACTGAAATTGACACCTGAAATATCAAATTTGAGAAATCATGCTTAGTTATCAGATTTCGAGATGTTATGATAGAGACAATGAACAAAAATCTCTCTGTTCATCATAATGTTTCCTTTCTAACCACAAACCACATCCAGCAACTACAGAAGTTGTTTCTATTTGAAGCTATGCCCAAAGTTTTGCATCTGCTGTTTTGAATGAGGGTAAAAGCAAACTTATTGGTTGACTTTTGTACGGAGGGTACAAAGATCAAATAAAAACCCGAAACCATGCATTTGGATTTAATACATCCAAAAATAATTTTTGGTTTAAGGAATTGTACTCTAGACACCTGTCACTACAAGTAGTAACCTCAGGGAGAGTTGAACCCCTTACATCTTCATTGAAACATAGTTATGTACTTTAAAACATTGTCCCTTCATTTATGTGGTAAAACCAAATTAGTTGTCACATCACTTGGAATACCAAGTTATTTCGTTATTACAACATTAGCATAACAATTAAAATGAGATGAAAATAACATTAAATGACCACAGCTGCCCTGCACAACTGAGCAAGTTCCAAAACTGATAAACTGCCAATCACTGGTACTATTGAATAGCATCCGCATCGAATGTAGTGTCAGAACACTCAACAATTTTCGCAAACAATTTAAGTCATCATAATCAATGTACATCCTGAATCTCAATAAAATTGTGGCAAAAAGCAATATTTGAAAGCCAAACATAATTTCCCAAACTGTGCGCCCTTCAGTCTTCACTACCATTAAAATGGCTAAACTTGCGGGCCTAATTTTATATTTGGAGCAAGGTAAAAGTAGATTAGAGTCCATGTGCTTTTTAAGAATCTTAACTCCTGTAAAATATCAATCTTGAGAGTTCCCATTGGTAAGAGTTAGATTACTCAAGATTCAAGACTGTTGTTCAGATGTAACAAGAACGAAAATAATTATCTTTAGTAAAAACATGGTTAGGGAAAATACACATCAAAGTGTCAATATCATGACAGTAATAATAAAAAATGTCTGTTGTGCATGATTGCAAATAATTAACCGATAAGTCAAATAGTTGCATACCATCACTTTTACTTGAATGGGTATCACCCCCTTCAACAGAAATGAATTTTGGGCTTGCTAATGACGGCTTTGAGCTCATTCTTCTGCAACAAATTCTGTTGAAGATTTGAACAAAAGAATTCTAATTAAGAAAAATACATTAAAAATATATATAAGCACTTTCTACAAAGCGATCTTATCTGCATATGCATGTACTATGCACTCACGCATATATAAAAACAAGCCAAATTTATAAAAATGTTGCCTTATTCAGATGTTCACCACATTTTTCTGTCACTCCAATGGCAACAAACAGAAATAAATGTTTTCTTTAAACTCTCTCCATTGTTCACACTAACGGTTGAACCAGCTGGAAAAGACTATAATACAAAAATAATATCAAACCTAGAACGAAATCATTTACAATTATTTTGAAGCATAGAATGGAATAAAGCGAACCGCATAGAAATTTGAATGTAAAATTTAATCGCGAGAAAGAGAAACCTCGTGAAGGAGGCAACAGACAGCCGATGAAGCATGGGAGATGTCTTTAGCATGATACAGCTATTTGACTTGTCACTGCAGCTTTGGAAATCATAGAGAGAGTATCGATATTTGTTGCCTACCAACTGTTTGTTAAAATGCTTCTTGTTTTGAGGTTTAAGTTTAACCGCCTAAACTAAACGATAAGACTACATTGGCGGACTGAAATACCGACTGACATATCTAACTGATGTGTCAGTCTACGTGGCATATGCCACACGTCAGATTCACGCTCAAAATCTTAAAAAAAAAAAATTTAATTCCCTCCAAATCAATATCTCTCCCAAAAATTGTACACCTTCTCCTAAATCAAATATCACTCATTCCCCTAATCAAATCTCTCTCCCAAAATTGAAATTGCTCTCCCACCACCACCGCCCTACCACCAGCACCGCGGGCTATCATCTTCCACCACCACTTGCAGTAGTCATTCGGTCTGCTTCTTCCACCAACGCTCTATCCTTTTACAGGACCCACACTTTTCGAGCCTCTACCACCACCGTCGTCTGTCCTCTAACACCACCACCACTCGCAGTAGTCCATAACAGAAAAATTACGGCTTTGGCGGGTCGGATTGCGGCGTGTACCTTCTTCTGGTACGACTCGCAGGAGTGAGAAAGGGAGGAGGATCTGTGACCTAGCTAGTGGTAAATCATTTATTTTTTTTAAATTGAAAGGTGCATGGGAGACTCTGAGGTAGACGTTGACAGTCCTGTTCTGAAAGAAGAGTAGATGTCCAGGTAATATTTTGTACTGTTATTAAATTTTAGTACATCTTGATATGTTTCAGTATGTTTAGGCACATAAAGTTACATTATGCAATGCTTTTCTTTTCCCTTTCTGTTTCAATATTGGTGTTCTTAGCTCAGTTATACATAACCACGTTGATAAGAGCACTTTCTGTAGGTTGGTAAAAGGATCAAGGGGTGATGTAACCATCACAATATTGAGGTCTGTATGTGATGTTATGTTTTGTAGATAAAAATGTGAAGTTTTTCCCTTTACTGAAGTACGTGCTGCTTCTTGCAGTAAAGTTGGAGAAAGGTGCTGTCCTGAGGGCCATTTGTGCTGGTTTTGAGGAACCAACTGAGCCAACTGTTTGTTTGAGTGGTAGTAAGCTTTAATTTTAGTCTGATACTAATTAGGGAAAATTTTGNTGAGTTTCAGAAAATGAACGATTTGTGTTCAGTTTATTTGTTAGTGTAGGTAATTGCTTTGTTTGGTATCAAGTTCTGTAAAATTTAGAGTCTTCTCTTTGTTTTTGTTTTTTTTATTGGTTTTGGGATTAATGTTGATGCTTTATGTTATAGGATTTGAAGAGAGATCACTCAAGTCTTTCAGATCAAGTGAAGAACATGAATACTGATTGTTTTCCTGGCCCTGGTGTTTTAGACAATCTTCAGAATCTCAGTGAGTATCAGATACTGATTTTGGCAATTGTTTCTCGTCTTTTTTTTTCTTTCTTTTGTTTTAGTGATTTTAATTGCTATTTTGGTATTAGGTAATGAATATGAGCTTTTAAAAAAGAAATACATAGATGAGTCCTCTGAACGAAAGTGGCTTTACAATGAAGTGATTGAGCTGAAAGGCAATATTAGAGTCTTCTACCGATGTAGACCTTTAAATCAAGCTAAAATTACTAATGGGTCCAGTTCTGTTGTTGAATTTGACTCTTCTCAATAAAATGAGCTACAAATTGTTTCTTCTGATTCTTCTAAAAAGCAATTCAAGTTTGATTTTGTGTTTAAGCCCGAGGACAATCAAGGTAATCCCTGATCTCATGAATGATTTTTACAATGCAAAGCAATTGCTATAATGGATATTGAACTGTTTAAATATTTAATCCTGGGTTTCTACTATATGCAGAGGTTGTTTTTGCACAAACTAAACCTATTGTGACTTCAGTACCAGATGGCTATAATGTCTGCATATTTGCATATGGACAAATTGGAACTGGGAAGACATTTACAATGGAGGGTACACCTGAAAATAGAGGAGTGAACTACAGGACTTTAGAGGAGTTGTTTCATATTTCCAAAGACAAAACTGGTGTCATGAGATATGAGCTATTTATTAGCATATTGGAGGTTTACAATGAGAACATAAGGGACCTTTTAGTTGGAAACTCTAACCAACCTTCTAAGAATGTTTTTTCTTGAATATTGGATTATGTATTAGTTTATTTTAGTTGGTATTTATAGTTTATTGACTTGTTTTGTTTTTTTATTTGTAATTGTTTATTAATGATTATGTATTTGTTTATTGTGGTTGGTATTTGTAGTTTTGTATTATATGTTATTGTTTGTTTATTTGTTATTTGTTTATTTTGGTTCCTATTTGTTTATATTCTAAATTGAATTGCATTTAGAGTAGTTGATTTAGGGGGTGTAAATGTAACAAATTAAAATTGCAGGAATTTTGGGGGTGTAACATCATAATTAAAAACTATTGGGGTGAAACGTAAAAATTAAAATCTGGAGAGAGAAAAAATGGGTACCGCGAGTCCACCCATACCCGTATAGGGTAGGGTACGGGTCCAATATTTTGGACCCGTATACCTCGACCCGAATTGGGACCGTACCCGTTTGGACCCAACCAGTACCCAGTCCACCCGCCCGTTTTGCCAGGTCTACTATTTATAAGCATTGCAGTGGTTTAAAATAAAAGTTTACGCAGGGCTACAGAAATATGTTGTTTATATGTGCTAAGATTATCTTAGAATAGTTATTCAAATATAAAATTAAGCTTTAAATCCCAAGGTTTGCTGAGAAGTGATAATCAATAAACCCTCATACTTTGAATCTACTACCATGCAGATTATTTGGTTAGTTTTAACCAAATGAGGCTAAATGACCCTAATGCCCTCACCTACTTTGCCATCAATCTGAACGACTAAACCCACCTTCCAACTCTGGCTTCATTTCCAGCAACCCCCCACAGTCACACTCGTATTAAACTTGTTAGTAAATTAGAATAACAGATTTCTTAATTCAATCCCAAGATTATATTAACATGTCATTATTGCAATCATATTTTTATAAACGAACTGCAATAAAGAAATCACAGCATAAATACCTCCTTCTTAAAAATCGCAAGCATAGACCACAACCTTCTTCAATTCAATGAAGAGATAAATTTTGAGCCTAAGAGAGTTAAGAGTGTTTTTCATCAATGAAAAAACTCTTATATACATGTGACAATTGCCTTCAAGGAAACTCCTGCAAGATAAAATTGGGTGGGTCCTATCATGGGTGTTTCACCTATATCTAATATCTCTCACTCACACATGATGAGACTATTTCTCTTTGTACTTCTTCAAGGTTCATACTTTCGTAAATATGTCGTGTGATTATGCATACATCGAGAGCACATTAGTTATATATCTGTTAAGAGTATATAACTTCTCGAATTATTAAACTTGGGTTGTATATTGTATGCAATACCCTAAATTACTTATCAATTTTTTTTTTTGCTAATAATCTCATAACATATGTTGTATTCATAATTATGTTTTGTCCTTACATAAAAAACAAAACATAATTGGTCGACCAATGAATACACATGATTGTAGTGTGATAATCCAAAAAATTGTAATCTTCCTCTTTCTCAATTTTTGCAACTTTCATTTAATTTGCTTTTCCAGAAATGTCCCAGCAGATTGAATTTATCTTAATCTTTGGCAACACTCTAATATAGCAATCATTAAATAAGGTTTTCAAAAAACAGAATATGGTAATAAGGGTACTCTATGAGATTTTATTCTTATAATCTCAGGGTCTCACAAATGTTAAAGTTGAGATTTTGACTTTCATTACCCTCTTGGTCAATAGTTTTGCACACATGATATGAATCACATGCTACAACATTTCCTCTTTTTCCATAAAGTGCATGTCTCTTTTTTCTTGTAAATGTCGTACAGATTTTAGTTCAGACATGCCCAATGTCTAACTTGAGTTCACTTTACATATTTTTAATTCATCAGAACTTTAATCTGGCAGTTAGACAGATAAAGTAATAAATATGATAATTTATCACTTATGGTCATATTTCATTATGACATTATTTTTATTCTGTTTTAGACGACGTTAAATATTTTAAGCTTGACTCTCTATTATCACCTAGATAATAAGCTTAAAATCATCTCATCTTCATTCCCACAAAGGAATGGAGACGATTGCCTGTGTGAGAAGGTCAATCTTTTAACTGTTCCACATGCTTTACACAACACACACACACACACACACACACACACACACACACCTTAGTGTATGTTCCATAGTAAACGAAATTGAGCATTGACAATATTGTTATTTAATATTAATAAGTTAATCGTGAACATTTTTTGGAAAATCTTAAAGTATGAGTACATTCAACATCTACGTAAGCCTAGAGATCTAACATGTCTATTAAATGCATCTCTTGGTATAGGCTTTGTAAATGGATCAGCAACCATGTCATGCGTAGATATGTACTTCATGTTCACCTCTTTTTGTGCCACCAAATCTTGCACAAAATTGTATTTGATATCTATGTGTTTTGTTTTACCATGATATTTGGGATCCTTAGTGTATGCTATTGCTGCTTGACTGTCACAGTTTACTCTCACTAGTTCAATAGCAACATTAATTATTCCCAGATAATTCATAAACTATCTCAACTAAACGACTTCTTCCACTGTTGTTGAAAATGCTACAAACTCAGCTTCTATTGTAGATAAGGCTACACATGATTGTATCTTATTGCTCCAAGATATGACCTTGCCATTTAGTAAGAAAACATATCCAGAAGTAGATTTCTTTTCATCTAAATCTTCTGCCCAATCAGCATCGGTCTCAAGTGTAAATCATTTCCTTGATAAAATAATGAGTAATTAGTTGTTCCCTTTAGTTATCTTAAGATTCTCTTCATTGCTTTCCAATGTGCTTGTCCTGGGTTGGACTGATATCTGCTTACCAACCCAACAACGTAACAGATGTCGGGTCTTGTGCACATCATAGTATACATGAGACTTCCAACAGCGCTTGTATAAGGAACATTCTTCATTTGTTCCTTTTTTTGTGGGGTCTTTGGACATAATTTATGACTCAAAGTCTCATCTAGAGATGACAATGGGCCCGATATTTTCGGGTACCCAGCCCGGCCTGAAAATGTCGGGCTTTACCCAGTGTTTACGGGTTTGGGCTTGGGCCTGGGCCTGATTTTAAGGCCCGACCTTGGGTATGGGTCGGGCTTGGGTACGCCTTCAGGCCCGGCCCGGCCCGATAATTTTAGTATTAATTTTCCTAAATTATCTTTATACTATATATTTAATTACAAGATTATCCTACATATATATACCCATTTTTCCCAAACCCTAATCTCATTCCATTTGATGAGTATTCAAAAATAAATTAATATTTAAAAACTATTTTTAGAATTAAAAATATAAAAAAAAATCAAATTTATTAATATTTAAAAAATCAAATTATAAAAATGGGCGGGCTTGGGCCGAGCCTGAGGTTACAAAAAGCCCATCGGGCTGGGCTTGGGCTTTACCTATCATACCCGTGATGGGCCCGGGCCAGGCTTGGGCCTTTCTCATGAGGTCGAGCTTAGGCTTGGGCCAAGGGATACCCGGTCCCGGCCCGGCCCGGCCCATTGCTATCACTAGTCTCGTCTTTCACGATAGGGTTGTCTACGAGTTTACAATCTTGCATATGAAATTGTTTAAGAATTTTCTTAATGTATGGCTCTTGTGAAAGAGATACTAATTTTCTTGAGCGATCTCTTGAAATCTTGACTCTAAGGATATATGCAGCTTCACCCATATCTTTTATCTGAAAATGAGATGATAATCATCATTTGATTTCATTGACAAATCCCTTATCATTTCCAGCTATAAGTATATTATCGACATATAATGAAAATATAACAAACTTGTCATTGGATCTCTTTGTATACACACAGTGATCTTTATCAATCATTTTGAAATCATACGACATTATCGCATTATGAAATCGAATGTACCATTGTTGTGATGACTACTTGAGGCCATAAATTGACTTTGAAAGTCGACACACTTTATGTTTTTGACCTTCTCTAATAAAACCTATTGGTTGTTTCATATAGATCTCTTCTTGTAATTCTTCATTGAGAAAAGTAGTCTTTACATCCATT